ATTGATTGTATATCCTCTTCTGAGAAGTGTCTGTTCAGGTCCTTGGCCCATTTGTTGATTGGGTTTTTTGTTTTTTTTTTTTTTGTTGTTTAACTTTTTGAGTTCTTTGTATACTCTAGAGATTAAAGCTCTATCTGATGTTTGAGGGGTAAAGATTTGTTCCCAGGATGTAGGCTCCCTATTCACCTCACATATTATTTCTCTTGCTGAGAAAAAACTTTTTAGTTGAATTCGTCCCATTTGTTGATTCTTGTGCTATAGGTGTCTTATTAAGAAATTTGGGGGCTGCCCCCACGTGATGAAGATTAGGGCCAACTATCTTCTATTAGACGCAGAGTCTTTGGTTTGATTCCTAGCTCCTTGATCCATTTTGAGTTGATTTTTGGGCATGGTGAGAGAAAGGGATTCAATCATTTTGTTGCATATGGATTTCCAGTTCTCCCAGCACCATTTGTTGAAGATGCTATCCTTTCTCCATTGCATGCTTTTAGCACCTTTGTCTAATATAAGGTAGTTGTAATTTTGTGGATTTGTCTCTGTGTCCTCTATTCCGTACCATTGGTCTGCCACCCTGTTTTGGTGCCAGGAAAGGAGAATTTTTATCTCATTTCCAAAAAGATGTTTATACTACACAGACATTTGTTATCTGCATGTAAAGGCTTAAAACTAAAAAAACAAAACAAAACAAACTACATAGAATTTAGGATTCTTTTTAAATAATGAATAAATTGGTGTTTTTGGTAGTCACTTACATTCTTATTACCTTCTCTTCTTTTAAACAGGCATTGGAAAAGTGAAAAGAAAACCTAGTGTTCCAGATTCTGCATCTCCTGCTGATGATAGCTTTGTTGACCCAGGGGAACGTCTCTATGACCTCAATATGCCTGCCTATGTGAAATTTAACTACATGGCTGAGAGAGAAGATGAATTATCATTGATAAAAGGGACGAAGGTGATCGTCATGGAGAAATGCAGTGATGGGTGGTGGCGAGGTAGCTACAATGGACAAATTGGATGGTTCCCTTCAAACTATGTAACTGAAGAAGGTGACAGTCCCTTGGGTGACCATGTGGGTTCTCTGTCAGAGAAATTAGCAGCAGTTGTCAATAACTTAAATAGTGGGCAAGTGTTGCATGTGGTACAGGCTCTTTACCCATTCAGCTCTTCCAATGATGAAGAACTTAATTTTGAGAAAGGTGATGTAATGGATGTTATTGAAAAACCAGAAAATGACCCAGAATGGTGGAAATGCAGGAAGATCAATGGAATGGTTGGTCTGGTACCAAAAAACTATGTTACCATTATGCAGAATAATCCATTAACCTCAGGTTTGGAGCCATCACCTCCACAGTGTGATTACATTAGGCCTTCACTCACTGGAAAGTTTGCTGGCAACCCTTGGTATTATGGCAAAGTCACCAGGCATCAAGCAGAAATGGCATTAAATGAAAGAGGGCATGAAGGGGATTTCCTCATTCGTGATAGTGAATCTTCGGTAAGTTGATTTTCAAAGGTAAATGGAAACAGAGCTGTGGTTATTAAATAAATAAAGAGAATTTGTATGCTGGGACCTAAGCATAAATGTTCTGAAGGTAAAGTTGCTGTTTTTTCTAACTATATGTATCTTGAATAAAACATAGCTATAGCAGTGATATTATACTGAATTTATTTGGCCTTGTCCAGTTGTGTTGATTGGTGTTCCTGGAATGTGTTCTGTTGCATTAAACAGAAAACGGAAGAAAATTAAACATTGACATCTTCATTTAAAGTAGAATAATGCAGTAGATAAAACCAGGAAAATATTTCTTAAATTGCTATCAGATGCAATATATTAGAAAATAATCACTGTAGTCTTTAAAACATAGAAATTCCCTAAGTTTAAAAATTGATATTTAAGTTTCTTCATATTGGTTATTTGAAAATTAAAATACACTTTTATTATATACTTTATAAATCTATTTTAGTGCTGGATGAAGTGGCACACACCTATAATCTCAATGGCTTGGGGAGAGACTGAGGCAGGAGGATCAAAAGTTTGAGGCCAGCCTGAGCAACTTAGGAAGGAAGAAGGCCTGTTTCAAAGTTAAAAGATTGGTAGAGCAGTTTCTTACCATGTTTGAGGTACTGGGTTCAATTTCTAGTACAGTAAAACAAAAGCAAAAAAATTCTATTTTAACACTGTTAGAAATACATTTGCAATAAAAAGTAAATTATATTACAGTACTAGTAAAATGATAAAACTATAAAACCATAAAAATTGAGGAAGAATATAGTTATTTGGTCTCTTTTGGTATTGTCTTACATATTAAAATTTGATGACACTAATTTTCCTTTAAAATTACCTCTTTTCCTTTGGTAATTGATAGCACTATTCTTCCACTTAGCAAGTCATGATTAGTATTGACTTTGGTGAGCATAATTTATACAAAAATGAAGGTATATTTATATAAAAGGTTGAAAGAGAAAAGAAAATTATTTGAACTTCCTTAGGGAAGTTCCGGGAGATGGGGCTTGTACCTAACCCTTCAGAAGATCAGGTGGTTGATAGAGTAGTGGCCAGATGTCTGGTCTGGCCCACTGTTTGAAACTTTGGGAATAAAAAGAAGCTTCCAATGTTGATATAGATTTTTCAGAAGATTGGTTGGTTGGTTGGTGTTTGCTTTTGTTTTTAAACCTAACAACAAAAAACCCACTAATTAAAAAAGAATGAACTTGAGTATAGAATACTATGTATTTCCTTGTGGGTAGAGCTAGATATAAGGCAAAATATACCATTATTTTGAGCAATATAATTTTTAAGGTAGAGGTCTTGAATAGGTATATTTTGTATAAGAATCCAGACTTCAAAATTTTCTTTTGTGATGATGAGACCTGCCAACATTGAATATTGTTCTACAGGACAACAATCACAGATGACAAGTGTCTGCTTTAGATTGGCCTGTACACTGTCATTCTCTCTGTCCATCCACTTTTGACACCTGTTTACATTACTTTTTTGGCCCTTGTAGGCTTTTTGAGTTTGTGACCTTCCATTAGACTTTAGACTGATTCTCACTTTGTTTCTTTTATTTTTGAGACTTCAGAGTATTACCTCTTCGTCACCTACTATAAGCTACAAATCGAAAGGAGATGGGGTGGATGTATGAGATTTTTCTCCTGTATTTCTTCAGTAGACTGCCTGGAGAGAAGACAGTTATTGTGCCTCAGATATTAAACTAAAAGATTTACTGTAGTTGTTATGCTGTGGACACCAAGATGTTCAGAAACTCTTGATTGCATGGTTTTGAGTCCTCTTTTGTTACCTAAATGGGTGATAGTGGGCAAGTTGGCTTTTCTGCCTCATTTTTCTCATCTGTAAAAAGAGTTTAAGAGGTAAAAGAAATAATGTAAAATTTTGCATAGTGCCTTGTACTTATTAAGCACTTGGAGTTTAGCAGTTTATTAGTTTAATATGAAAATGCAAATATATGGCTTTCAAAATGTTGACTATTATTTGTTTTTTCTCTTTTAGCCAAATGATTTCTCAGTATCACTAAAAGCACAGGGGAAAAACAAGCATTTTAAAGTCCAACTAAAAGAGACTGTCTACTGCATTGGGCAGCGTAAATTCAGCACCATGGAAGAACTTGTAGAACATTACAAAAAGGCACCAATTTTTACAAGTGAACAAGGAGAAAAATTATATCTTGTCAAGCATTTATCATGATATTGCTGATCAAAATGACTGCTCTACAGCTTTAATTCATCATGTAATTGACGACAGGAAGTGTCAGTCCAATCATGCTTGATTGGAAATTGCTGTTTCTAACTCTCAGAATTGACTATAATACATAAGTATTTTTATTATAACTCAGCCCATACATTATATACTACATATGCAATGCATCTGCATAGAACAGTTCTTATCCTTGGTCTTCTATTTTACCGTTTCCTTCTTTGCTGTTTTTCTCTTTGCTTCTAATATTAAGGTTTTATATTTTGGAGGGAAAAAAAGGAGTAATACAGATCAGAAGTCTTTATATGGAAGAATTTCTTTATTCCCATTACAGATTTCCTTGTAAAGGCACCCCATTAGTTCTGCCATGGTTTCTCTTCATATAAAATTATATCTATATATGGCATATGCTCAAATAAATTTCTTGGAGAGTGTTAATCTTTTCTGTGACTAAATAGCAATAATAAATGGAAAATTAGAAATTATTTTCAGGTATGAATTTGTCACAAGCCATTGTAAATACCAAGTATGTTGTGTATGCTGTTATTTTTAAAAGTTCATTCATTATTTTCACTGTACTATGAAACAGATGGGGCATGGGTTAGAAACATCTTAACATAATTCTTAATTACAACTGTTGAAACAAAAAATATCACTCGATTCTTAAGAATTTTCTTTGATTTTTTTTTTCTTGTTACTCGAGAACAAAGCAGTCTCTGAGATACTGAGCTTTTAAAAATATAAATGGCTGCTCTGTGTTACTTTCTTTTTCCTAGTGTTACTTTACCAAAGCATCTTGTATTAGAACATGTTATATTGATGCCTGTGTGAAATAAATTATGAACAAGTTTTGGGGAAATAGGAGACAATAAGATATGTAGGGCGTTTTGGTTTTATTCCTCTCCAAACATACATTGTAAGAGACAGTATTTCCTATTTTTACTTCCTTCTTTCAATGTCCACCCCATCTCACCCCAATTCCATGCTTGGAATCAAATCCAGGGCCTTCTATACATGTTGGCAAGTGCTGTACTACTAAGCTGCTCCCCAAGCACCTCCTCTTTTCAGCTTTGAGTTTTATTGACTGAGACACTAAATTTGATATAAACCTGAGGGGGGGAAGTGGAATGTGCTTATGGTTAGATAAAATTACATTATTTTTAAAGTCTTATTTTTGTTTAACAAGTTGTAGTTTAGGTGAATGGATGACAGGCTTCTGTAAAGTTTTTTTGTTTTGTTTTTTAATATTTTTTAGTTGTTGATGAACCTTTATTTTATATATTTGTATGTGGTGCTGAGAATCGAACCCACTGCCTCGTGCATGCTAGGCAAGGGCGCTACCACTGAGCCACAACCCCAGCCCTTCTGTAAAGTATTGAATCCACTGCTGTAGGCCACAGGAAACAACCATTGTATTTTGTGGTCATACTTCTCATTATGCTGAAAATTTACTAAGCAAAGTAACCATCATTTTTTTAATTCAAAATACTTATTAAAAGCACATAACTAGGAAACATTAAAAAGTCATATTTTCAGAAATTTCTCCTATATTACCTAAGTATATGAATATTTCCATTTTCTGCTATTACAAACAGATAATACATCAGAGTTATTGATGGTAAAATTTAAGTTGTGAAATGTATATTTTTAAAAAATTATTTAAATCTTAAAATCTTTTAAAGACTAATGTTGCCACTGGGTGGCAGCCCTGGCTTTTCCCACTAAGCAACAGAAGTCAGCAAATATAATTAAGACAGTGGTGTATATCTATTCTTAAAATCTTTTAGTTCATATTATCTTTCTCAGTGCTTTATTAAATTAATTATTAGATAAGTTTAACGGAAATAAAAGTAATTTATGCTTTTTTGGCTGTAAAATCACATGAATATAAATTGAGGAAAACAGTTTAAGAGAGTAGAATGACTAGGTAGTAAACATCCTTTTTTTAACATTTAATGATGCTTTCTCTTTTTCTACCAACTCTTCATTATGAAAAATGAAGATGAATGCTTAATTTTAAAAGGAGCAATTTGTATGAACAAATATCAACTATTTATAGCAAATCCCCCACTGAACTGATATTAATAGAGCATGATTTTGAGGAAGTAGCTAGAAGTGGTGTAGCCCTGGAAGCAAGGTACATGTTCCCATGCCATGTAGAGTTCCCAGGTAACACGTGCCAGTAATTCCTATTGTGTGCTCATTATGGGATAGAAGCTTTACTGGGAAGTACTTTGAACTTCATTGTTAATCTTCCGACAATGACTTTTTATAAGTGTAAATTTTACTTGAAGCAATTTTTTTAGGAATTGGAACAACCTTACAAAACAGCTGCATAGCTAGGTAATAATAGGATTTGTGTTAGGAACCAAGTTTCCTCATACCCAGACTGGTGGTGTGTGTATCAGAAAGTACTGCTCTGCGCTACTTTTAGACTAGGAGGAATGTCCTAGGAAAAGTAGTGAAGTTTTCTATCATATAGGAGGTGATTAGTTATCAAATTTAAGTGTACCTAACACATGTAGCCCTGCCCAACCCACTTCTACAAATAACTTTTCCAGAATCTAGGAAGGAGCTTAGTAATAAGAAGAATGGCTATTGCTGCTGTAACCCTTATTTGTTTGTAGGTCCTTAGGATTCAGCTGGATATATATGTTCACACATGTACCTAGTGGTATTAAAGACTGTTTCGCAGAAAGCAGGAAGGGTGAGTGCAAATCTGTTGCCATTACCAGAAGGATAAAAAGGCCTAGCAGTTGAGCGACCTGGGTTGTTAGAATAAGGTCATCCTTATAGATAAATGTCATATGAATTATTTCTAGCTGTAATGCTCTATCATGTTATCCAAAGGTAACAAAGAAGCAAGATTGCCACTGTCTATGTAGTTCCTTTGTGAAAAGTAGGAAAAGGCACCTTTTTCTCCCAGCAGGCCCAGCCCCTTCCTATAAAGAAATCCAGAATTTTACCCCCTCATCTTGACAGAGTGCCTTGTTCAGGTTTTAACCAAACATAGTGGCCTTATAGGAATACTAGTTGACCATACAGTGCTTGAAAGAATTAATGAGGGGCTTCGGGTGTAGCTCAGTGGTAGAGTGCTTGCCTTGCATATGTGAGGCATTGGTTTTGATCCTCACTTAGCACCACATAACAATAAAGGTATATATAAAAAAGAATGAAACCTGGGAGAGTGGTGCATACCTGTAGCTTCAGCTACTTGGGAGGCTGAGGCAAGAGATCCTGTGAGCACACCATGGGCAACATACTAAAATCCCATCTCTAATAAGGAAAAAAAAAAAAMCACTTTTTTTTTTTTTTTAGTGGGGGGTTTCGCATAAAATTCAACATTTCCTTCTTTAAAATGAGAAGCTGGCAGCACTGTAATTCAATTCCCCTAATAGCAATCAGCTGAAACACAGTACAGGTGGTGACCTTATTATTTTTTAACATATTTTATGTGTTGTTGGACCTTTATTTTTTATGTGGTGCTGAGAATCAAACCCAGTGCCTCACACATTAGGCAAGTGCTCTACCATTGAGCCACAACTCCAGACCCCCCCCCCTTATTCTTTTTACTAATGTGAATGGTGAAAAAATTCAAATAGTAAAGCCTATTTCCCTACCTATCTAGTTCAATTTCCAAATTCAGTTACTGTTACTCTTCATTTTTTCTGTTTCTTGAAGAGTTTGAGACTTGGGATCCTGAAATTTTCATTTTCTAGAAACACTTCTGCATTGTCCAATAAATTTGTGTATAATTACTCATGCTTTGACTTTTTCCATTTTAAATACTTTGCTAGAAGATAAGAGTTCTTTGCATTTTTCTAAATTTAAATATTATATACATAATATTTAAATTTAGAAAAAAATATTATATGGCAGTGCTGGGGAGTGAACCTTGGGCCTTGTGTATGCTGTCATTTTTTTCTTAAAGGGATATTCAATATAGGGTAGATGATATCATTTTATGTTCTGGACAGCATCTGGTGTACTTTTAAAACATCAAATTATTGATTCTGGGGGAAAACATTATTAGTTTTTGTTGCAAGGTAGGAAGTATTGACTTGCTCCTCTCCTGATAAACTGATTTTGTTGGTGTTTAAAAGTTCATGTGACTCACCTTTGCTATATTCTAAAAAATTGACAGACAAGCAAGCAAAATATGAACGCTCCACACCCTAATTTCTTGCTGTTACATGATCTAAACCAGCTAAATGAGGACTTGTATATTTCTAGTTTACTTTTCTGTTTCTCTTTTGATCTGAAAGTATACACAATTTGCTAAGACTTGTTTAATGGGTAGAACCTATGCTGTGCTTGGCAGATTTTGAAGAATAGGAGGCGGCATTTCAGTTGCCCTGTTTTATACCAGTGTATTTTTGAGAATGTTTGCTGGGTAGAGCACTTTCATCACATCAGGTATTTCGGAATTGGTCTGATGCCTACAGTGGTTTACGTAAATATTTATCTACTAGACTGGCTGATTTTTATATGTTTGCTCTCAAAATTACTTAAAGCGCAGGTAAAACTTATTCTTTTGAAATAATGTTAACAAATTTTATATATTTTAACTAAAATGTCACAATACTCAATTTCCTCTTTCCATGTTTTCTTGTACCTCTTGGAATGATGACTTTCAGACAGGAAAACAAACATTTTAAGTAGACCTTTTAAAGTAGATGTCTTAAGATGTTTAGTTGCTTTACATAATCTTTTGGGCTCAGATAATTTACGTCATAGACTATGGAGAAATTTTGGCAGATAGCCTTGGAAAATTATGGAGATAAAAGGGTGATTCCAGAAAATGACTATTAAGAATTGTCCACTTAAATATAGACTAAAACACAGGAATAGTTATAAAATTGATGTTTTTTAGCACTTCTGAAGGAAATTAATAACCCCTGAATGAGCATGACTTTTCTGGAGTAAATGATGTCAAACAAATTGGTTTTGATGTTTTCTAGTCTAAGAGTAAGGGGGCTATTATAGATAATAAATGGTAATTTCACCAAGGGTTATGATAATCACTTGGTGTAAAGATGAGAAAAAAGTATTTCTGAACTGTTGGACTCAATGTCTCACATATTGAGGGCGCGGTCCCTAGCCCCCAGGGCTATTGGGAGATGGTGGACCTAGTGGAAAGAAATTAAGTCATTGGAGGCATCCCTCAGATGGTTTATCTGTGTGTGTATTATTGCATGTGTGTATATTTAAATAACTTCAAAGATATTATCTATCCAACTAACTCACCTTAAGTATTTGATT